ATGACAGGCCAAGGGGAGGAGAAGCCTGAAATCAGATGTTATTTCCTGACCAGTTTGGGGTACGTGAGCTCTGTCAACAGCTCATGGAAACTGTTGCCCTAATTTCATCTTGTTGGCTGAGGCACAATTCCTTTCTCAGGGACAGTGTGGGGCTGTGGGAAGGAAGGCCCTGAGCGCCTATACCTGGAATCAGGGAATCAGGGGCGGCAGCTGTGTCTGATAAAGCCCCTACTCAGGATCCTCTGACCTCCTCTTTTTTTTTTTTGAGACGAAGTCTCGCTCTGTCACCCAGACTGGAATACAGTAGTGCCATCTTGGCTCACTGCAACCTTCGCCTCCTGAGTTCAAGCAATTCTCCTGCCTCTACCTCCCGAGTAGATGGGATTTTAGGCATGTGCCACCATGCCCGGCTAATTTTTGTATTTTTAGTAGAGATGGGATTTCACCACGTTGGCCGGGCTGGCCTCAGACTTCTGACTTTAGGTGGTCCGCCCACCTCAGCCTCCCACAGTGCTGGGATTACAGACATGAGCCACAGCACCTGGCCTTTTTTTTCTTTGGAAACAGGGTCTCCGTCTGTCGCCCATGCTGCTGGAGTGTAGTGGTGCAATCATGGCTCTCTACAGCCTTAACCTCCTAGGCACAAGCGATCCTCCCACCTCAGCCTCCTGAGTAGCTGGGACTACAGGCACTCACCAACACGCCTAACTAATTTTGTATTGTTTGTAGAGACAAGGTCTTGCTATGTTGTCCAGGCTTGTCTTGAACTCCTCGGCTCAAGCAATCCTCCTTCATTGGCCTCCCAAAGTGCTGGGATTACAGGTGTGAGCCACCACACCTGGTCTGACTTCCTCATCTTTAGGCCCCACCTCTGTCCTTACACTGGCAACTCTCCTCTCCCCATCTCCCACAAACTTCTTTAGGATATTCCAGAGCTGTAAGGACTTCGGGAGTATCAAGTTCAACTCCTAGGTGTTACAGACAGGGAAACTGGGGCCTAAAGAGGATCAGGGACTTGCCTAAGATCGCTTATGAGGTGAGGGAGAAAAGAGCTAGAGTCATCCTAGCCTGTGCAAGGACATAGTTCCAGACATTCAGGGCTGGGCTCTGTAGCTGACATGCTTCGTGGTCTGGTAGTTCGCTGCTGATGTACCAGGTTAGATTTTCTTTCTCCAAGTTGTGGGGCTTTTGTAAACGTTTCCTGAAGGCCTTTCTTAGAATGTACAATTCCCCTCTGGGCCCAGTCATGGGTGCCCCTCACAGGCTCTCTCTGGTCCCCTTCTGTAAAATGAGAGGAAAATGGAAGAGTTGCCCTACCCATGGAATCTTCAGTGAGCCTGGACCCTGTGCATTATAGCATTGCTGCAAAATGGCAGATGCATTTTAACAATCATATTTAATAAAAGGTTGAATTTGCATATCTCAAGTGGGGCGTGCAGTCTCCAACTGAACACAAGCCTCACTGCTCCCAAATGTGCACTGCACCTTCATACACATATGTCCTACTTGGCTCCTGAAGGAATTTGAGTGGTCCCCAAGAGGAACCCCTGTATAAAATGTCCCCTGGCCACACACCCCCATTACTAAGGACTCAAGCAGGAGACAGAAACATTCCCTGCACCTCCCTCCCCACTGTCAGAAGAAGTGCAAAGAGTTGACTCCTCCCTAATGCCCACTTGTCACCCACACCCCAAATCCCCAGGTCCCATGGAGGTCCTTGGGGGTCTCTGATATCCTGGTGGTATCAGGTTGATTTGGAAATATCAGTGTCCACCCATGTCCTCTCTGCCAAACCCCAAGTGTATGCATTTTTCAGTGGAAGTGAATTTAAGTGTACTTTATAAATCAAAGGGTTTTTCTGAGACTTTGGAAAGTTCCAGTATTGAGAGCTTCTCATTGTTATCAAAGCCAGGGCTGAAGACCAGTGGCAGATGAGTTCCTACTGCTGGGATTGTCATGGTGATGTTGATGAATAGCCACTGTTTATTGAGTGTTCTCCATCTGCCAGGCAGAGTACTAAGCACGTGAACAAAACTTACTTCCTTCAGAGTTCCCAGCACCCTGTGAGGTGGGTCTTGTTTAGCTGATAAGGAAAGTAAGCTACTTACAAGACCAGAGGACTGTGAAGTTGAAACACATAAATTGATATTTTTTTTTTTTTTTTGAGACAGAGTTTCACTCTTGTTACCCAGGCTGGAGTGCAATGGCGCGATCTCGGCTCACCGCAACCTCCGCCTC